GAACACCTAACAATAATATTATTGTTAATTATTAATATTTAGGAAATATTAGGAGATTGGTCTCCTTTTTCTAGTGCTGCTCTGAGGAAATGTTAGTATTCAAATTCACCCTAAAAGGTTTCTAATGCAACCTTAGTTCTATAAAATGTATTGAATTGATGCCATACAAATATTGTACATGTTTCACAAATTTATTCAGTTTAGATTTGGGTCTGGTGGCCTGATTGACAAATTCATTTTATGCTCAGGTTCATTACTCTATGCAGGGATAAGATGATAAAGTGCATCATATCAGCATGGCTTGGCTAGCCATCTAGGTGTCCTTTGAAGTAACAAAATGAGAAATAGAATCGATTTAATTTAGTTGAAATGCCTACCTCCAGACATCCCTGGAACAAAAGAACCTTTTCTAATATGCAATATTTGTAGTTTTTACAGAACATTTTTTTTCTTTTAACGACTCTGTAATCTCTTGCATCAGGGTGCATTCGGGGCCACTGAGCAAAACTCAAGCATTTAATGGCCAGATGCTCTTCCTGACACCTACGCAGAGTTCTCAGAAGACTATTAGTCATTGCGCCCAGAGAGAGGAATAGAATAGAATAGAATAGAATAGAATAGAATAGAATAGAATAGAGTAGAGTAGAGTAGAGTAGAGTAGAGTAGAATAGAATAGAATAGAATAGAATAGAATAGAATAGAATAGAATAGAATAGAATAGAATAGAATAAACAGAGTGGAAAGGGACCTTGGAGGTCTTCTAGTCCAACCCCCTGCCCCTACCTAGGATCAAACTCACAGCCTCCAGATTGTGAAGTGAGAGCTCTACTTCTAGGCTACTACACTACTCAGTTTCTGCTAAGAACAATACGTAATATTTAACAGTATATCAATAACTTCTGTATTGTGCTGTACTTCAAATATACAGTATCAGTACTTCTGATATTTAATATCAGAAAAAATATTTAATATTATGAGCACTATGTCTATTATAGCTTTGAAAGTTTTATTCAGTGACTAATGCTAGATATACCTGTACTGACAATTCCTGATCCTAATGCACATGGTGTGCTATTTATGATTTTTAAAAGAAAATAATACACAATGCAACAAACAAAACTTTATAGAAACTGAGCATTTTCTTGTTCATGGATAGGATGAAAAACATCTTGAAGCTAATAAATATCTGTAAGATTATCTCTCCTCTCTTCATAGATTAATTCATATTTGTATGATTAATCTTTATATTTCATATTACTTTTGAATATGTTGTTTTTCTTCAACAAATGAGGGAACTATTTTGTTTTTCATCTGTTACCCATTTTGTATAGCATTCTGCACAAAATGGGAAATATCTGTTCTGAGCTCAAAATGAACTATCTTTCAGTTGAAACATTGCATCAATACAATTCACTATTGGCTATCTCAACGCCAAATCACACCACCATCCAGCACAAATAAACTCTGTTGCCAAAACATTAACCACAAGAACTAAACGTCTGACTGATGAAGCACATTTACAAACAGAATTATATACACTAACTAATGTACTGACATCAAATGGGTTCTGTAGAAATAAAGTCATCAATATGATCAAATATACAACACCAAAACAGAATAAAAAACAACAAGAGGAACAAAACAATGGGAAAGCCATCTTGCCCTATATAAGGGGAACAACAGATAAAATTAGCAAAGTACTACATAAACACAACATCAAAACCATATTTTGCACAGATAGAAAGATATTGTCCATTCTGAGAAACCCCAAAGACAAAATAGAATTAGAAGATCAAGGCATATACGAAATCCCGTGTGCTTCCTGCCCATCAACATACATTGGACAGACCAACAGAAGAATGAGTGTGTGCATCGAGGAACACAAAAACTCAATACAAAAGCAAGAACACACATCATCATTAGTTCAACATATAAATACAACAGGACACAACATTAATTTTAATAAAACAAAAACAGTTGCAAAAATAGAACATCTCAATGGCAGGATAATCAGAGAAGCAATAGAAATGGAAAAAAGGGACCATATTGCATGAATAAACGGGATGACACTTCACGTCTGCCTACTATTTGGAAACCTGCTCTCATAGATAGACGAATCTTGACACCATATATGGGACATGGACCAAGCATTAAACAAAAACAATCCCAACCAAATCATATTCAAATCAGCCACAAAGATGAAGCCCTGCCACCTAGTGGAGAAAAACCGACCATACACCCGAAGCCAAGCTAATAAACACATACTGGGACTCCCAACCAATCAGAATGAAAAGATGGAGCCATCCCAGAATACCAGCACCAGATTTGAAATGCCAACGGCAGTTAGTGCAAAATGACTGCTGACATAAGCCTGATGATGGCAGATGGGATTCTGCCGAAACGTCGCTTCTACCCTTTTAGGGATATATCCACAATTACACGGGAAGAAACCCGAAATATTAACTATACATACATACATACATACACATATACATATACACACATATATCCCTCCCACATGCTGGGCTAGACCAAGTGTCTCGATAGAAAAACACTTAATCTTTCCCCTGGCTCAAGCTGATGAAGGGAGGAGAACTTGTGGCTCAGAAGGATAATTCAACTGCCTAACATGCAAGAAGCCAAGTTCGAATCTAAGTAAGGGTATGCCTAGCTGATGAAAGCTAAAAAGCTTGAAATAGATCTATACTAGACTCCCTTTATTTCTTTATCAGCAAAATATAAATTTGGTATAAAATGGTTTGTCATGAATGCGACTACTTGAGGGCTCCTGGATTGGAGCTGAAAGGAGAAAGGGATGCAGCATGCTCCCTCCCACATACTGGGGTAGACCAGGTGTCTCGATAAAGAAATACTTAATCTCTCCCCTGGCTCAAGATGATGAAGGGAGGAGAACTTGTGGCTCAGAGGTTAATACAATTTTCTAACATGCAGCCAGCCCAAGTTCGAATCCAACTAAGGGTACGGCTAGCTGATGAGAGCTAAATAGCTTGAAATAGATCTATACTAGTGTTCCTTTATTTCTTTATCAGCGAAATATTATATATATATTGTTGTTGTTAGTTGCAAAATTGTGTCCGAACCATCGCAACCCCAGGCCTTCCTGTCCTCTACCATCCTCTGGAGTCCATTTACGCTCACGCCTATTGCTTCAGTGACTCCATCCAGCCACCTCATTCTCTGTCATCCCGTTCTTCTTTTACCTTCAATCTTTCCCAGCATTAGGTTCTTCTCCAGTGAATCCTTATACACACACATACACTTTACTAATAACTCAATGTGGACAACATATCCAACACCCCTTCCTCCTCTTATTTTCCCCATAACAACAACCTTGTGAGAAACAATGAATGACCCAAAGTCACCAGGATGGTTTTCACAGCTAACACAGCATTGGAACTCACGGTCTCCTGGTTTCTAGTCTGGTACCTTAGACACTAGGCCAAACTGGCTGTGAATTAAAAGATGCTGTCTTAAATTATAGTAGTTGAACTTTTAATCCTCTCTCATCCAGTTTTGGAACAGTGTACATTAAAAGCAGTGGAGTAGCATTCCTTTCCTTCTCCCCATCATGACCAACAAAAATAACCCACTAAAATTTCCTTTGGGCACTCAAAATTACAGCCCTGATATTTCAAATTCTGCCCCTGCTTTCTAACATGCAGAACCACAAATAACACCTCTAACAAGAGCACTACACATTCCTTTTGAGATGGAGAACGGATCTGATTATGTGTATCATATGACAAACCCTTTCTCTGAATTGCAGTATTTGTCATTCTCCATTGCATTTTACTCCCTCCTCCAAAATATGAGAGCGCATATCTTTTTTTTCCCTTTGGGCAAAGAATCTACTGTGATAAGAGCATAAAGGATTACAAGCTGGTACAAACACTTTTTCCTTTCATCTTCCCCAGGCTTTGTTCAGATTTGGTAAATGCAAGAGGAGCCGGCCTTTTACAACTGGCTCTGCTATGGAGAACATAGCGGATGAAATAAAGTCAATGCTGAGCTTGCAGTGCTGACTTTAATTTTTCACCTTGAGGCCCAGAGGCAGCAAAAGAGAGACTGGCCACAGGAGAGTGAGTGCATTGTGCAAAGGAAGGCAATAAGCTTGCTACCTTAAAGCAACTGCTGGAATAATACAAAAGAGTTTTAGAGTGAATCAGCAGATTCTCCCTCAAAGTCAGATGCATAATAGGTTTAACGGTTTTCTTCCTGAGGTTGCATTCTTGGAAAATGCAGACCTCCTTCAGGAATAAAATGAGAACAATATCTAACTCAAAAACAAAAGTGAATTCTAGGTTGATCACCCCTGTCAAAACTTTTTAATGCAGACAGGTAGAGTTTGTAGGCAAGATCCTATTTTGAGAATTGCAACTTTTGATTTGGAAAGGAGTGCTTTATAGGGTTTGTTAATTTGGGGATCCTTTACATTCAGTCATGTGTAACTGTCTCATGCTCAACAGGGCACTGGTAGGTTCAATTGTTATATGTGTCAACCAATCCTTCTAGGTCAACCAATGGCTCTAGGTGGATTACAAAGAACATAATAAGAATTAAATACCATAAAAACATAAAGAAAGGAGCAAATATACAATTTCAGACATATTTCCTGAACTGCAGTAGAGTAGTATCAAATAAATATAACTGAAATTTATTTCTAATTGACTGATTATTTATGCCCTCCTGTTCTTCACTAGCCATATTGCCACTCAGAAAGCTACCCAGAGCAATTGGAACTGAATGTCTATACTTAAGACAAGGCCTACGAGAATAAGAAGGCGAACTCATCTTTCATGAGTTTGCCCTTTTATTCTTGTAGGCCTTGTCTTAAGTATAGAATTTGGTGAATTGGTGGCAATCAAGTTTTTCACCACTTTTGCTTTACAATGTTGTAAGTTTTCCTAGCAAAAGTCACTTTGACCAGCATATGAGTACATTCCATTCCATTATGATGGAAAATTTCACTGTCATGGAAACCCAGAGCTCTTTCAAGTTACTTTCTGGTTTGGATAATCTCCAGTTGAGACCATCTGCCATGCTTTACTTCTTCTTGGTAATAACTATTGACAAACTCATGTTGTGAACCCAGATAGCTTAACAGAAGCACCTGCCTAGACAAATTGCATAAATAGTATGTACTAGGTGAGAAACTGTTTGATCCAAAAAATAAGTAATACTTCAGCGTCTTCCCAGAAATACAAAACTGGTAAAAAAAACCCAGCTAGAAATAATTATTGACCATGCAAAGTTACACACTGAGCATAGTATACTCAGAACTTCATTTACTGACAAATAGAATCTAATGATTTATAAATTTGAATATTATTTTTGGGATCTGTTTAGGACAAATAAATTAATTAAAGCTTATTTGAGTGAACATATGCAAATCTATAGAGAAATAATATATCTGGATTTTTAAATTTTGTTTTTGTCCTGAAATGAAACATCATATTTTTTTAACCTTTAAGTGTCATTTTTAAACTACAGCACTCCTTTTTCAGTTCAAATAATTGATCATAAATATACTTTGATTTTGAAATAAATCCAATGCAGATTTATGGTGTATATCATCTTCAAGAAATTCTGTTTCTTATGTTTGCTTTATATAAATATAAAGCAAACATAAGAAACAGAATTCCTTGTGATACTGGGAATATATTCCCAGTAACACTTATGATTATTTTTTTTTAAAAAAGCTTGTTTTTGAACAGTCACTTGTATGTTAATCAAAACATTCTTCTCACAATAAAGCTAAAAGAATGTTCTTTCATCATAAAATGCACTTCTATCAACTTTCACTTCATTTTTATATATTATAAATATAATAATCTACAGACAATTTGCTCTATGTTTCATAAAGCATGTAGGATAGACTTTGTATTCTATTTGCTTAAATAGAGTTATATAAATTACTAATATTCTCCATTCCCTAAGGACGAGAGTAAATGGTAACTCGTTGATAAATAAAAGGTAATAGATAAAAATATATTGAATAATAGATTTTTAAAAATTACACATTACTTTTTTTGGTCCTATAGAATAGGGAAGCAATAAGTATCTTGCAACACCCACTTTTTAAAATGCACCAAAAAAAAAAATAAAGATTAAGAGCTGTTTGAAAACCATTAAAAGTTAGGGAGAATCAAAATCATAAAGCATGAAGTTAAGAAAATAGCAATAGAACTTACACTTATATACTGCCCCATAGTGCTTTACAGTACTTTCTGGTTCATTTATAATGCCAGCATATTGCTCCCAACTATCTGGGTCCTCATTTTACTGACCTCTGAAGGACAGGAAGCTGAATCAACTTTGAGCCCCATTAGGCTCGAACTCTAGTCTCTGGGCAAAATTTGCCCGCAATACTGCATTATAAATATTCTGGGCTCAATTCTGAAAGAGCTTCTGCCATGGAAACAATATGCTTTATTACCAATAATATCTCTTTTGACTGGAGAAGACAGAAACAATAGCTGTTGATGGTTAGAGTCATTGAAAAATACTTCTGGTCCCCAAATACAGAATGAATATTGTCATGGTGGTAACTTCTAACCACATCTGAAGATCTTTATGCTGAATGCTTATCTAGATAGAGGGTCCATGTAGAGCATTCCTTCTTTTCAAGTAGCATGACTAAAGCCAGTGGTTGAGAGTTAAAGATGTGCAAATATTTAATTAGGGAAGGGATGGCTTTTGCTAAGAGCATTTCTGTCCTCCTAACTTCATCACTGCACATAGAATTCTCCTTTGTCTCTTTGGTGGTGGTGGTAGTGGTGTGTGTGTGTGTGTGTGTGTGTGTGTGTGTGTGTGTGTGTGTGTGAATGCCTGGCCAGTATTTTACTTTTGAGTTTCAGTGTAGCAGAAAACAATACAAAGACTGTTTTTGTTTGTGTTGTTTTTCTTCCTGAGCCTAAAAATAATCCTCCAAAACCTGTAGTCATGCTGGCAACCTTTATCAATGTAGCTGTTCTGATGTCACCAAAGGTATGGAAATTGCTAACATTTATGGCATAAATGTTTTTTTCTATCAGGGCAACATTTGTGGCATAAGTTCCTTGTCTAGCATTGCTATACCTGGTGTCTATTGATCCAGATTCATGACATGAAAACAGCCAAAAAAGCTATTTATGACAGCTTTTCTGCAAATATTTACTGGGGTTGTTGCATGAGCTTTGAGAAGTGGGACTAATAAATATTTGTTTAGTTTACAAATCTTGCAGCAATAATATTCTACAGATCACAGGATATACTGCTTAGCATCCATAGCTAAGAGAATATAATTCTTCTTAAACTGTCATGAACACAGTAAACAAGAATGAGGAAGAACATTTTTGTTGTAGCTGCTATTCGAGACTGAATATCCCAGCTCCCTAGACACAAGGAACTTTAAGACATGAACTATTCTTCTCAAGTTCGTAATATCTGAGATGATATATTTATCAGAGATATCGCCACTATATGCTTAAGGTAAAAAGAGAACAGGAGTTCCAGTGACAGGGATGCTGGATGAACTGCCATATTCAAGGTGCCAAACAGATAGGAATGGACAAAGTCCTTCAGTGCTACCTTCTCCATAGATGATGTAACTACAAATTAAATGGGAAGGAAGCAGCTGAGCAATCCAGCTATTTGCCTATGGGATGGGCTAGACTTCATATAATTACTTTGTAAAGGTATCTGTACAAGAGCACCAGAATTAATGTTAATCAGAGACGATGAAAGTTAATCCACTTTGTATTCTACAGAAACAACACATTAAGTCAGAAGAATAAATTGCTTCACAGACAGGAGATGGGAGGATCATATTTTTAAATGATTTAAGCACTGTCTGAAAATAGAAAAACAACACAGCATGCAAAATATTGGCAAGAACCTTTCTTCTTAATGTACTTTCCCCCCTTTTAGGGTTACATGGAAGAGACTACCCTCCCAGCTATTAATTGTATTCAGGTTTAAAAGTGAATTGTATTCACTTGTAATTCTGCATCTCTTTTCTTTTGACATTCTCGGCATTAATGTTATTTCTTGATTGGCTGAAACAGTTAATATCAAACATGAGAAGGAAGTATCGGCAAATTTGGGGGAAGATGCAGGAGTACATAATATACTAGGTCAGCATATTTTTTAGAAAATATGAAATACCTGCTATATTATTAGCTGACTAAATGTTGTGAAAGAGGGTAAGAAAATATGAGAAGGCTAGAATTCTGAACAGAAAATGTTCTGCAATCCAATTATTATACTTCCTTGACATTTTATTATTACTGTTGTATTTTGTATGTGGCTTTAGGAGAACTGACAGACTCTAGTGTTTTTAAATGTAAATTACAGTTTATTTTTATATCTGAAGAAAACCAATATATACTCAAATTATCCTTTGCTTCAAGATGTATAAACAACACAGGAAATTACAATAATTTGCTTCTCATTATCCAATGTCTCATTAAGGTAAATAAACATAAATATTAAAACAAGCCCAGAGGTCATATGGTAACCCTATTATGTTTTTGTGAAACACACTGTACAAATTGCAGAGAAAGCTAGCAGCAATTTGTAAAATTGGTACAATTTATATATAAAAGAATTCCAATTATAGGAGCAAGAAAACACTCCTTTTAGAAAATGTAGAGTTTTTAGAATGTATTCTCCTAGAAAATGTCTGCTGCTTTAGGGGGTATATTGCACAGCTTTTCTTTACAAAAAATATACAGTACTGAAATATTTAGTACTGAAATCAAGTAGCTTTGCTGATGCATTAGTTGAGAAAAAAAAACAGTTTTCCAATTGTAAGGTGATAAAAGAAAAGTAGTAGATATATTAATATATATATATATGTGTATGTATGTATGTATGTATGTATGTATGTATGTATGTATGTATATGTATATGTATATGTATATGTATATGTATATGTATATGTATATAGTTCATACCAGTAAAAAATGGAGTATGGTAGATATCCAGTAGATAAATTATGCATATCTTCTCAGACATTCAATTGGGTTTTTATTTTTACATGTGATCCTAAGGTTACAGTTTTTACTAAGAATCATTCTTATTGATTTTAGAAGAATTTATTTTGGAATTGATCTGGATGTTGAGGTACTGTTATGTCAGATGTAAATGCCTTATTCTCCAATGTGTAAATAATGTATATATGGAACATCAGAGGTTAACTTATTCTTTGGACTTTAATGTATTCATAACTTACCACTCCCATTCCTAGCTCCACCCCTTGTATATATAAGGAGCTACCCTCACCATTCTCGTTGCTTCTACCTTGAATATTCAGTGAATATAGAATGCCTATCATAATTAAAAAGAAATATATTTAAAGCTCTAACTCCTAATATCTTTATTGAGTCTGATCCTGAAAATATTGCAACAAGCTGGTAGCAGAGGATGGTTAATTGACTCAATAAGTAATTAAAAATGTCCAAGAAAGATAGGCCCAACACCAGGGCCTACAGCAAAGAAATAGAAACTGATCAAGAGATGATCAACGAATCCACCAATGCGATTTCGAGAGAATCCGAAGAATACACCACTGAAGAAGAAGAACTAATGAGTGAAAATAATGACCAGAAAGAAATCGAAATAGAAAATAACGAACTCAGGTCAGAGATATTAAAGATACTAAAAAGCCAAAAGAATGATGAAAGTCTCATCGCGGACCTCCAGGAGATGCTGAAGAACAGCGGAGCAGCGAGAGAGAAAAACGTCATTAAAGAAAAACCCAAAGATCAAAAAACCGTAAGTGAGATGACTACTGAGAAAATAGTTGTTAAAAAGAAAAGATGTGATCCCGCGCGAAATTTTGAATGGCAGCCATCTTGGTTTCAACGAACTTCAAAAGAGAATGGAGCAGAGCCAATCAAAACGCTCAGTTCAAAATTTCTGGCGCGAAAAACACTATCAGACGAAGAAAGTGAGAAAGAAGTCTCAAACTCTTCAGATGATCCAAAATCAGAAAGTGAAGACGATTTAACAAAATCTCAAGTAAAATCAGCAATGAAAACGCTTTTTGCTGCTTTTGGGCCAAGACTGGAAATT